TGATCCAGCACTGGTTTTGGAGTTGGTAGGCCTGTAGTGACTGGTAAAGAATTCAGGTGATCTTTAGGAAAACTGTCTGAAGTTTCTCACAGCTAAAATGATCAGATGAGTTCACCCTAGATCAGTAGTTCTTTTTCTTAAATTTTAATTTAGAATAAAGCCAATCAAAACAAGATAGTATAAGTGACACAGGATTTCAAAATAAGGTAATAGGAAATCAATAATAGGAAATCAACAATGGTTACCGTAACGCCTCTTGTCATCACAATAGCTGCCCATACCTTCAGACATGGTGAAATCAAACAAAACAGAAACAGAGGAGAACCAATAAAAATAAAACAATGAATGCAGTGCGAGACTTCAAAACAAGATAATAGTGAATCCACAATGGCTACCATGATATATCTTGTTATTTTCAAAATAGCTGTCCATGCCATCAGATACAACAAAATCAAATTAGATAAAACAGAATAAAACTCAACCAAACAAAACAATGAGAATGACACAGGATTTTCAAAACACGATAATATGTAATTAACAATGGCTACCATCTTCAGAAGGAGACCCCACAGGTGCTACACTGCATACTGTTATCCTCTGGATAGATGCTCAGACTACTGGCTGTAGGCCTGCAGAGTCAGGGAAACACTAAATAATACCAGCATTAAGTTGCATTTTACCTCATAAGCTTTCATCACAGCCTGTGTTTCTACAGACCAGCAGGTCATGTCCTGGAGGAGGTACATTGGTTCTTCTTGTCTTTCTGCCCATGTGCAGGAAGGGGCTGGCATCTGGCTCTCCTCAAGACAGCCCTTGGTTGTACTGACTCCTGGGAGGTCTTAGCTTCTTGTTGACTTCTTGCTCTCCTCCACTGCAGTCTGTAAATGGCGTAGTTCTCAGTGGGATTATTGGAATCACTTCCTAAGTATACCAGAGTGTCCTCTTCCAGCCTTTTTGAAAATTCTGATTATATAACTTTGTGTTAAATACTACTGCCCCACAGGATAATAACATTTCCCCAAATTATGTGCTTCTATGTTGTGTAATTTAGAGTCTTCAAGATGTTCTTTTCTTAGTATGGGCATGGAACTCAGGGCCTTTGCATGGAGTGATACCCAGTATGTTTCATTTTTTATTTTGACACAGGGTCTCCTCCAGTGACTAAACTGCTTAGGCTGGCTTTGAACTTTCAGTCCTCTTGCCTCAACCTCCAAAAGGACTGGAATTGTAGGTTTAAGCCACTATGCCCTGCTACTTTTCAGGTTTTTCATGCTTTTAAAATATTTACTGTGCCCAAGATGTGAAGTCTACTAAAAGAACAAAGGTGGGACATACTGAGATGGTTTGTGTGGTATTTATATCTAGTAGTTCTGTTGGCTTCCATTCAGGCCCCAAATCCATGAGGTTTACTTTATTCCTGTGTAGGCACAGGATTCTCTCATTAAAAACTGTGAACTATGGAGTAAATTCTCCTGTTCAAAGAGACCAGGGGTTGATAGCAGAGCAGGTGTTTTGTTTTGTTTTGTTTTGTTTTTGTTAAGATGAGAACCTTCGATCTGGAACAGCTTTTGAACATGTATCTTGCTGAAACAGAAGCTCTGGGGTTCTCCAAGGAATCTGATTATTAACCAAACCTCAAGATATTTAGGAGCTTAAGTAACTTGGTATTTGAGAAACACTGCCAAGGTGAATGATACGAAATAAAGCATAGGTCTGAAAACAAGCGATCCAATGAGATCAGGTAATCCAGGGCCAGCTAAGCTGCAATTCCAGCTAAGTATGGATTTCTTCAAGTTAAAGGAGGAAATACCAGAAATTCTGTCCTTTAATTGCCTGACTCCTTTGGGCGAGGTTACAGTGCTGGAAGCCACACTTTCCTGTGAAAATCCTCACAGGTCATTTTCCTGGGGTGCAGATCGAACTACTGTGTAGTTTCATAATTTTGGAAACCTTGTTTGTGGTTTAGCAAATTCTTTGTTTGTTTGTTTATCAACAAATATCTAGTCACTATGGACCCATATGGCAGCTCAACGCAAGACCTCAAGGCTTGTGTTCTTGGGAAGTTGCTTGGAGACCTTTTCGAAAGCACTGAGTGCTTGAATCTAAAAGTAATTACAGTAGCACAGAGGTCTCCAACCTTTTTGACATCAGAGAGTGGCTTCATGGGATAAGTTTTCCCAAGAGTCCAGGCAGGTGGTGAGCAGTGGGAAAAGGTTATAAACGCAGGGAAGCCAGGCTCTCTGCCCTGGGCTCACCTCCTGCTGGGCAGCCTGCTCCCCAAGGGGTGATGCTACCTGGCCTGGCCCTGGGTGGGGGTTTGAGGGCTTCTGAAAAGACACATTGTCATTAACCCTTTTGCCTCCAGCACACTTAGCCATTGCCTCCCCCAATTTCTGAAACAGTTCTGGAAGTTCTCTTTCTTGTACACACATGTTTTCACATATGTACACACTCACATGGGCTCACAATTCTCAGGGTGATGATTAGTGTTTGTATTGTTTCACTGCCACCTTTGTTTTAGTCCAACATTAAATTACATCCATTCAGCATCAAGCTAACATTCCAACCGTGATTCACTTATCAAAAGTCAGTTCTTATGTTTGCTAAGCTCCATGATCTCTCCTTAGGGGCTGGGGGACCTGAGTGCTACGGGTTTGTGTGTTAGTGAGCATTGCGAAGCCATCAGCTCTTACTTCTGTTTTTGTTCCAGTCAACACCACTGACCTTCATATAATATTGTGTGTATCACATGCTCACAGGGGCCAGAGGTTAAAAGTGGGGACAAGAGATAGAGGAAAGGTGTGGGGAAGCAATTTGGAATGTATCAATATCTAAAGCTGGTAGGATCCCTTAATTAAAAAATAACAAGGAAAAGTGCTGTGCTTTAGCTTTTAAGTATTGGACAAGTGGGATGGAGTATTTCCTAAAATAGATTTTGTAATTTTTTTTTTAAAAATGTAACTGTTACCATGATTCACTTCATCTGCATTTCTGAGTCCCTTTTCTATGGGTGAAAAATTTGAGAAAGATTTAGAGTTCTCTGATGAAGAGAAGATAGAGGGGTGTCATATTTTCCCGGCACATAAATGGATTTTTCCAACTCATTATCACTGAGGTTGGTGGCTGTCCTGGTTTGCCTGGGAACATCTTGCTTTTAGTGCTGAAACAGCCCATGTCTCTGGAAATTCCTAAGTCCTAAACAAATCAGTCTGGTTGGTTACTCTAAATAAATTCATAATCATCTTGATTAGACAGATGTATTTCTAAGGTAATATTTAATTCTCTGTGATGGGTCATTGTTTGGTGGAAATTTATAGCTTTGTCTGAAATATATATATATATATATATATATATATATATATACACACACACACACATACAGAAATATATATACACACTTTGTAGTAACAGTACAGAGTTCTAAAATGAGCTTGGATGCCTGTTTAAAGCTGATCCAGAACTTGAGTGCTGGAAGGATCCTTAACCTTTTTTTATCCAGCACTGATTTTCATGAGGAAGTAACTGAGGCTCAGAGAAGGTGGTTTATTTCTTGCCTGTGACCATTCAGGAGGTTAGAGGCTGGTCCAGAATGTGAACCCAGGCCCCCTTACTCTTGATCATTTTACTTTTTCTAGTGTAGAATATGTATGAAAGGTGCTTTAGCCTCCTCATTCTTTTCTTTTCTCTTTTTCTTTCTTCTTTTTTTTTTTTTTTTTCATTTCCTGGTACTGGTGCTTGAACCCAGGGCTTCTAAACTAAGTTGTATTTTGAGCATTTTCCTTTTAATTTGTCCAGGATCACCTTGAAACTGTGATCTGCCTGCCTCAGCCTCCAAAAAGGCTGGGATAAAGACAGGCATTAGTTTGCATGGAAAATAGAGCAGCCCAGTCCCAGAGAGACACTGATTCCCTTGGCGTGCGCTCCATTAACTGCTCCCTGGCCCTCCTCTGTGCATGGTGATGAATGAACTCTGAGGAGCAGTGACAGAACCTTCTTCCCTCTGGGGAGGCCGCCTTCTCTTGTGGCCACAAACATCATCCCCACAGAGGAGGAGGTTCAGGCATGTGTGTATTTCTACGAAGTGGTACTTTGATCTTGCTATCTCTATTAATATTTGTAGCTTGAAATACTAAGCAGAAAACAGCGTTTGCTGATTGCCTTCCATGGTCTGGAATAGGAGCACGTAAATGGTGTACCGTGCGCCTCTGAAAGCCTTGCAGCACTGTCTGAAGTCCATATTTACAGATTAAGCTCAGTATTCTGAGGCAGCTTTTGCATCTTACATCTGTTCTGTGATATCTCTTCTATCATATCAGGAAAAAAAAACCCAAGATAACCTAAAAACAGAATCTTAAATTTAACATGAAACATCCAGATCCAAAGTCAGTGTTTTCACTGAAAGAAGCTGCTCCCAGTGACTTTCTTAAAGTGGGAGAACCCTTCCCTTCTGGATGAATTCTAACATTATGAGAATACCTTTTTTCTCACAGAGCTTGAGCAAGTCTAAAGACTCAGCTCCAAAGACCCAGTTGAGGAAGGAGATCATTAGGGAATTGTTCTGAGGTCTAATTTTTGTTTCTTGACTAAATGAATCAATGGGAACATTTCAGTCTGTTATGTCTATCTTCCCACTTTAAAGCAGAAGTCCTGTAATTCAGCAATATTTCATATACCGGGATGATTAAGGCAGTGAAGAGAATGTTAACTGCACCAGTGTCTGCTTAGTTTTAGTTGAAGACTCTCTCATTGACAGATCTGGGCGCTGTGACCTCTTTGGAATTAAACAGTGCCAGCTGATGATGGCTTTCTCACCATGCAGCCCTGGCTCAGAGTGTCTAGAGGAGAATGATTTGGGGTGGATCAGCTTGGGAGAGGTCAGCTCCCCTTGTGAGTGAATCAGTTTTGCTGAACAACAGTCCGACCTCCAGAGATGCAGGCTGCACAGGGCCTCTGGAGCTGTGACTGGGCTCATGATTACCACTTGTCTCTTCTCCATTAAGGGTGTCATCCAGGATGGAAAGATCATCTTCATGCCAAACGGGTACATAACGCAGTGTCCTAACCTCAATCGCAGTAAGTAGTGCCTGAAGCACTTGTGAGTTTTAAATGACGCAAAGCTTGCTCAGGGGATCAGAGAAACAACCTCGGGAGGGCTCAGGTAGAAGCCATTGCTGGCTTCTGGGACTGTGAGGGTCCTGGAAGAAAATTCGTTATGTGTATCATATTCTTCTGTGTCTGTGAAGTTTTTTTTTGTTGTTGTTGTTGTTTGTTTGTTTGTTTGTTTTTATCGGTACCGGGGATCGAACTCACAACCGCCTGCTTGCAAGGCAGGTGTTTATGCCACTGAGCTAAATCCCCAGCCCTGTGTCTGTGTGGTTTTAAGAAGGTTTTCTTCCATACAGCATTAACATTTAGATGTAGGAAAAGGGTTGTGTTAACAGGTTCTGTGGTGTAAGACAGATATGTTCAATGCTGTGTATATGTGCGTGTTTTAAATAATTACTATTACACCACACTGTTCTTTAAACTTCTGGACCTGGATATGAACTCACTTTTTCTCTCTTATATTACTTTATATTTTTTTCCTGTCACCTGTCTGTCAAAATGAGGTTTTCATTTTGAAATGTCATGTGGCCTTTTTAGTCAACAGCCCTCTTTTCCTGTTTCTTTCTTTTTCTTATGAAAAACGAAAAAGATCCAGGCCCAAAATCCTCTCTGACTTCATCCAGATTTTACCTAAAAGAACAAAAACACTCCTACCATCAAAAGTGGTTAAGGTGTTTGAAAATTTTCTTTCTTGCATTAGCAGAAGATCAATATATATTTTATATTTTCTTTATTGAGCTTGCCCTACCTGCAGTGATTTCTTAAGCCTGGTGCAAGGAATCATGGATTTACAAGAGCTTTTGGCCAAGATGACTGCAAAAGTAGGTATCTGAATTTCACTTGCGATGTTCATTTCTTTCTCTGTCATATCAAGTACTTACAGTGATATGTCATAATGGAAACATTTTTAGCCTTGGCACCTGCAATATGTTACAACAAGAATGTTGTATTTTCCTCTGAAATGGGATTTCCTCTAGTAAGCATTCAGGCCTTTGATGCTATTAGGCTGCGTCTAAATGTTGTTCTTGAAAAATATTTGGAAGTAAGAGGCAATTTGTATTAGTATAGATTCCCTAGGAGTGGAAAAAGAATTTGGCCAATGGCTATTAAACTAGAAAAACTGTAAGATGATATATGGTTAGAGCCACTGCTGCTTATTAAAGTCAATGCATTTTAGATGTAAGAGTTATTGCCAAAAACCAGGAGGAGGCAAACTGGCTGTTAGAATCAGATCACTGTCCTAGGAAGACCTCACCTAGTCCTAGGAAGACCTCACCTAGGCTTAAGACTGATCCTAAGTTGAACAAGGAGAGACCAACATTTGCCTTCTGACATTTTCAGCTTTAAGATTCTGCATCTTTTATTCCTCTCCGTCACTTACGAAGCAAACATCTTGGGAGAAACTTCTACCTGCCAGTCACTGTGTGAGGCTTCGAGCTGCACTGATGAGCAAGGCCTGACTTCTGCCTCGGAAGTGGCTGCACGGAATGGCAGACCAAAATTTAAGCATTTAGAAGCCTTAGTGTCCGTTCATGTGGTGTAGATTCACGATGAAAACCCTGATCCTTAAGTGGAGAAAGGCATTGAAAAAATAGAAAATGTAGATGATGCTGTTAGGGTACCAATTAGTTATGGATATGGGTTTGTCCTAGGGTGAAGAGAGAATTAGGGTGAGCCTAAGAGGCATTATATTCTGCCAGAGGAAGAATTTTAATAGCAGCAAAGATGATGCATTTATTCTCTTCTGCCTGGGGCTGTGACTGCCATTTACCTTCAGTCATGGCAGGTAGATAATATTTGGAGGATCGCCCAGTGACTGGGAGACAGGGCTGTGTGTTGGATTCATGGACTCTGCCCCTAAAGATAGTGTTTTTACATAGAACTGGAATTTTGGTCAAACCCAGTCCCATTTTGTCTCGGAGGCAGAAATGGGATATGTTTGCAAAGAGAAAGATGGAGTATGGAGCGTGAGACAGAAAAGTCTGCCTTCCACTGCACAGTGCTGGAGAAGAAACATGCCACTCAGTCTTAGGCGATTGAGAGTCTCTGCAGGCTCTGAGGATGCCCTTTTCTTTCTCATTGTGGGAAACCATTTCTCTTTTAGCTGTACATTATCTAGGAGCCGCAGTGAGCTCTGTCCTCAGAGCACCATATTGTAAAATGGGCACCGGGGAGGCAGAAAGTATTTATGTGGGGCATAGGGAGCAGATGATGGTTTAATCTGCTTCTTGCACCCCGCTTTTCTCCCCCTGGCGTTTTGGCAGACTTGGAGCCTGTACCTTCCAAACTGCAAAGAGAATTGTAATTCTATCCCCGAGTACTTCCATTTTTCACTGCATAATGTGTAATCTCTGGTGATCCCAAGCAGGAATTGCCAAAGAATTTTTTTTCTATAAATAGCCAGCCAGTAAACACTGGGCTTTTTTAGTTAAGAAGAAAAATTGAGCATATTGTGTGTGTAACTATTTCATTTAAATGAAATTATTTATAATTGGTGCAAACATAATCATTGAAAAACATAAAAACTATTCTCAGCTCACAGGATGTTCAAATGCACGTGATAAACCAGACTTGGACCATGAGCCTCAGTCTGTCAATCTTTGATCTGGAAGGAGCTGGAAAGTCACTTAAATGAGCCATATTTATTGAACATTTTGCACGTGTTAGTTCCAACCCCTAAGCATTTTAAATCAGTTCTCACAATAATCTTGTAAGCTGAGTTTATTGTCCTCCTTTGAGAAGGCCATGGCCCAGAAAGGCCACTTTCTACAGTATTGTAAATAGCAGAGCCAGGACCTGAACTCAGGTACTTAGCTTCTGAAAACTGATGTGACTGAGCAATTTTGTGGGTGGAAAAAAGAATGATTAGAAAGAAAGTTAGAATCCACAAAGAGGGGTAACTGTAGAGAGGAGATCACTGTACTAGCAGGAGGCTGGAGACTGAAGAGAGGATGAGCAAATAAAACAGGCAAAGAGCAGCACCTGTGTGGTGGCTTGTGGAGCTGAGCTAGATTTCAGTGACTCCCTTTGGGAGTGAGCACAGAGCTGGCAGCAGCTCCTCAGGAAGGAGAGTCCGGGAACAAGGCCTTGCACCTTGCCTTTTGGCTCTGAGCTGCTTGTTTATCTTGGAAAGCTGCAGGACATCTGTAATGTTGGGTGACACTGGGTGTGGTTTTGCCAGTTTCACTTGGGCACACCACACACTGTGTCATCTGACTGCTGAGAATCAGTCCCCAAACCTGGGAGAGTATTAACTTTAAAATAGGTACAGCCTGGGGGGTCCTACACTTTCCTGTAGGAGCTTCTTTTATGACCCAGTTGTTGGGCTGATCTCTTTTGAGTCTGCTCCTCACATCAGCACAGCCTTAAAGATAAAACCTTGTGGGTAGGATGGAGGTGGGCTTTGGTGCTTGCTTGACTTTTGGAATCTCTTCTGTTGACCTCTGAGCTGCTCTTCCTTTTATGTTGGCTCTGTGATGCTTTCTGGGGGTTTCTGTTTGTATGTTGAATGTGGTATTTTGCTCAGTTAGTTGGTGACACACTGCCAGCTGTCTACTCTGCCATCCTGGTGGAAATGGAAGGATAGCTCACCCTTTTGACAGATCGGAGGAGAAATGTGAGGCAATGACACCCAGTGTCACCCAAGCCTCTGACTCCCAGTGGCTACTGCTTCACCGGTATACTCTGACATTCCCCGAGGTGGCCGAGCTGTCCCCCTGCCAGCCAGGAGGACTGTGCTAGTGCCAGGTGATCGGGTCCAGCTCCTGGACCCAGCTGTGCTGAAATGGCATTGTGCCATCAAACTCAGAAAGAGAGCACATGAGAGACTGAAAAATTTTAAATTATTGTTGTGTGTAATTCTTTATAAATCTATGTGTGCCCATCGAGGAGCACTTCGAGCAGCAGGCTTTTCAGCTCTAACATATTTAATCTTGGGATTTTCATTATTTTGGAGGGCTTAGTCATAATTCAATAATTATTATTTGATTAAACTTAAAGGTTTAACAATAGCAGTAGCAGCAGTGTTTTCCCTTTTTATGTAGCAAGCATGAAATAAAGCATATTCCAAAGTAGGAAAAACAATTTCTGCATGACTGATACACTCAGATCCATTCACTGTCCTCTTACTGTGCAAGAGGCCGCCTCTGCGTAGCTTTGAAGTTGGAGAGTGAAGAATAAGTATTCAGTCCCTGGCTTCCAGATAAACACAGGACACAAATAAACAAAACAGAGATGTAGATGTCATACCATATCTGTTTTGGATCTGCCAGTCTCAGAAAATGGCAGGCAGTGTAGAAATAGCTTTTGAAAAAGAATTAATATAAATTCAATGCACTAATGCCAGTGACAGAAAATGTAATTCAGTTTTTGAGTCACAGTTGTTTTTCTCTATTATTGTTGTTATAGGATTTAGCAGAGAGAAAGGAAGGCAAAATTGCATATTAAATGCCTTTGAGAAATTAGCTTTTTGCCTTAATATCCTTTTGCCTTTGTAACTGTCTGACACAGTCATTATTATAGAGATTAGGGCTTTTAAGTGTTGTAAAAAAGGCTAAATACATGTAAAATATAAAAAATCCATTATGTTAAAACTGAAGTTTTCCTCAGGAATTGAGTTTGTAGATGATCATAGCCCAACTTTGATGGACCACTATTGAAAATTGCTAATATTCACCTTAGGCAAGAGCCTAGGTTTTCAGGATAGATGAAGAATTGCCTTTTGAGTCATTTAGTCTCCATCATGTTTGCTTCTGGGGATGATACGGGTACCAGAGTTGTTCCAGGTTTTCAGGTTAAGGTAGGGATTCTTCTCTCCCAAACAGATGCCTATCCTGAGCTATTCTTTAGGATGTGTGGAGATCTAGTTCAGCCTCTTTTTGTTCCATCCTCAATCAGGTAGTAACCTTACCAGGAAGTACTCAGGCTTCTAGCAGTGAAAAAATGATAATAAGTAATGAGTTGCTATTTCCTTTTTATTATCTCTGACCTTGGCAAAGTCTTGGTAATGTATTTTATCTGTGTTTCCTAAAGAATTCCCAAAGATCTTAATTATCACAGATTCTAGGAACTCTATAATGAGGCTGGAGTTTTAAATGAAACATGAGTTTTGGGAAGATCCTATGTATTAAATAAAAGGAGCCATGGGAAGCTGCTGATGTTTAAGTAGTCAACCCTTCACTCTTCAGGGTCTGATCATGATGCGTGTGCTTTGTTGCGTATGTTATTTTCCCTGCCTTTAATACCACCCACGAAAGGCAGGAATTGGCCTGGTTTCCCTGAAATACTCCAAAAGCTTGGGGGAAGAGGAAGAGATAAGTGATCAGTCTGAAAGTTAGAATGACGTGTGGAGCAGAGTACTGTCATGAGTCCTGAGAGGGGCACGGTTAGCATGAGACTGTGTCTCACCCAGAAAGGTTAGCGTGTGTCACTGTTCTGAGGCTCAACCGTTGCAATCTAACATAATGGCTCAAGATAATTTCGGAGGGCTCAGAGACTGAATCAAATTCCTATATGGGAGAAAGTCTCAAGACATGGATGCTTATGCTGTGATTGAGAAAGAAAAGAAAAGCAGAAGATGAAATGGTGGAAATGGAATTTGTTTTCCAATCATGGCAGCCTGATGTAAGAGGAAAGAGAGAACAGTGATATTGCTCTTGGGCTGAATTACACTATAGCATGTCTGTGGCAACAGGTATCTCAGGCCAAAAAACTGTCTATATTGAGACTCCTTTGGCATTGTATGTTCCTTTTTTGTGGTGCTGTGGATTGAGCCCAGGGCTTTGTGCTGGTGGGGAAGCTCTCTACTGAGGCCCATCTGAGTCCTGTGCTGTGTTTGTGAACACAGACTGACGCAGGCTGGATGAAAGCAATCAGGACAAATTGGAACCATATTGTAAGGAGCTGCTAAAGAAATCCGGTGGTGCTGAATGTGGTCAAGCACCAGCACAATGCTAGAAGAACCTCACATGTTGGAAGATTAGACTTGCTCCGTATGGGTTACATGGCCAAATTAACACTAGCAGTAAAAAGGCAGAGATTTCACATGTTAAACCAGAGTTGTTCCAAACATCCAGAGCCAACAGCAACAAAACAACAACCACAAGAAATGGGTTTTCTTAGGGGATAGTAAGAGTACCGCCCCTGGATTTGTGGAAGTGAATCAGCTCCGTGATGAGTTTCTTTTGAGGGTACCCAAGCTTTATAATGTCTTTGAAATTGGAGAGTCTAAGGCTCTGACCTTAGTGGTAATGATTGAGTGGCCTAGAAAAAAGCAAAAGATTATTTTACAAAATTCATCATCTGACCTTCCCTGAACATCTTGGTGAATCCCTGGGCCATTCTATTTGGGGCAAATGACCCAGGTAAAAACTAGACCCCTCTATGATTTTGATCCTCTGGCCCCTGTTCCCTAGAATTTTACATTGGAGAGAAAGCAGCGATATCCTAAGTGTGTAAACCATTGCACTGTGGTTAGTGTGTTACAGGGAGATGATGGTAGGGGAGGAATGCAAGTGCATTTGAGATCCATTTAGATCTCCAGTGAATACTGTAATACGGCTTTCATTAGTGGGTTTCCGTATAGGCATGAACTGAAAGCACGCACACCTTTCTGAATGTTTACGAGGTTCCTGAGATACACTACCATGTCTCATTCGGTGTTTATTAGACCACGGAGGTCAGCGTGTCTTCAGTTTACAGAGGTTCAACTTTGTGTTTAACGAAAAATGAAAAACCAAAAATAGATCTTGCTAAGAATCTGTATAACTACTTCAAACATGTTACTGTCGCCCTCATCCTGTTTGGATATTTTTTCCTTGTTATTGCTTTGTTAGGATGACTAAATTACACAGATGACACTCTGTAACTCTCCTTCTGCAGCTGAATCATGCAGAGACAAGACTTAGTCAGTTGGAAAACTGTCACTGTGAGAAGACCTGTCAAGTGAGTGGATTGCTCTATCGGGACCAAGACTCTTGGGTTGATGGTGATCATTGTAGGAACTGCACATGCAAAGTAAGTACCTTTGAAAATGAATAAGATAAAACCAGTTTTAAGGGGACAGACATTCTAATTATAGCATAATTGAGTTAATATACAATGTCAGTTCCTTTCAATGTACCATTCCTTAACAATTCAAACAATTATGAATGCTGAAAATTTGTCATTTGTTAGAATTCTTGGGAGGTAAATCTGGTTTTTCTCGCTACACTCTGATTTGATCTTATAATATTAGTAAGAAGCTTCCTGTTTGGAATTTAGAAATTGAGATATAGAGGGGGAAGAGACTCTTTTCGTTTTCACGCATCTTCACTGTTAGCTTTATCAAAACTTTTCTCAGCTAGAATGCATTTTTAAATGGGATTTAATTAGTCTCTGTGGGTTTTTGTTGTGTTTGGCATAGTATCTGTCATTTGTTTCAGGGAAGAGCAGGATGTTTGCCTCCCTCCCTGGTGTCCATCATTTGTGTACTCCACCTATTTCGGACAGTTATGAGAGCTCCCTCTAAAATTAGCATGCAAACCACGTCTGGTTGGAATTTCTTGATAAATACCTGAAGAATGCCATTGTTTGTCCAAGAAAATACAAAATGGATTGTTAGAGCCTCAGAAATGATCGACAGGGTCTGCAAAAGGTGTTATTTATGTTGGTGTAAAAGTAGGCTTTTTGTTTTCGGACTGATCTGCTTAGTCCACATGGGCAGGTTAGATGAAGTCAGTGATGTACATCAGAAAAGTAATTGAGGTGACACGGGTTCTTTAGGGTTAGAGAGATGCTTTATTTGTGGTCCTGGAGTGGAGTGGGTGCTCCTCACACTCGTCTCTTTCCCTGGTGAGGGTTGGGGGTGAGATTGGAGCTCTCTCTGCAGCAGGAGTGTTTAAAGCCTGCCTCTGAGATGCCTTTTGTCCTTCCTTCCTCAGAGCGGTGTTGTGGAGTGCCGGCGGATGTCCTGTCCCCCTCTCAACTGCTCCCCCGACGCCCTCCCTGTGCACATCGCAGGCCAGTGCTGTAAGGTCTGCCGACGTAAGTCCTAGCCGGGGTTCAGTTTGGGAAGCTTAGTGCTTTCAGATATTTTTCTGCTTTTCAGGTCCCAATCCACTGACCTTGGAACAAAGTGCTTGCTGTTGATGTAATATCAAGTGTAAGATGGAAAGCACTGCGATATTTTAATCGCTTGCGATGTGGCAGATACTTTAAATGGCTTTATATTTTCTTCAGAGGCTCCTTGCATGACCCTTCATTGCTGTTCTCTCTTTCTGTGTGGAGATGGCTTCTGTTCACAAGGGATCCAGTCACCCATGCAGGGTCACTCAATGGGGTGGGTGTAATCGCTAAACAACTCCAGGGTTCCCTGTGCTTCACCTTCTAATTCTGAATGATCAAGTGAAGGGCCAAGTTCCGTTTTGTATTTGGAGGTTCTGGCTAGATGCTCTTGGTGAGGAGGGTCTTAGTTGGACGTTTTGGGATGAAGTTCGGATCAGTACTGAAGCACTTTTCCGCAGTGCTGGCCTGTACGCATACTGTCCTCTGGGTTGCAGACGGCACTGTTTCAGATGAAGCAGTGATGTGACACAAAGGCATGCTGTGACAAGGAAGCAAGCTCGATTTGGCACCTTTGCTATGTGCCCTGCACAATGCTGGGTACTTTCATTCTATCAGTTGATTACATTTTCACAACAGTCCTAGAGGGGGGTATTGTTATTATCCTACTATACAGGAAACTTGGGGCTAAGAATGTTAATTTACCAAGGTAAGAGCCTGAGCAGGAGCTGTGAGATACCAAAGTAGCTTTATCTGCTGCAAAGCTTATATTCTTTGTACCGAGCCACAGAAAATGAGAATTGGGCTAGAAATATGATACCCAGTAGATAATTTTTGAGATCACTTATTTGCCAAAAGAGTTGCACCAATGCCAACAGGCATTCAAAGCATCAAAGTTTGGTTATTGGTGGGAGAAGGGGAAAACAGCATGTTACCTGCTATGACAGAGGAAGGAAGGAGAGATAGCTGGCCTGGTGAGACCAGCTCAAAATACCTGTGGAACTCTTATGAAAGGAGGTTTGGAATGTTCCTTTCTGTTGCTGGTACAGTACAGCCAGTGCTCTGGAAGGCGTTTTTAAAGTTGGTCTAAAAAGACAGACGTACTTTTCTTCCAAGGCTTTTTAGAGTCATGCCTGACAACTGAGTAAGCTGAAGGGTCCAGCTGTTGATTTGTAGTTTTTCCTCTGATGGAAAAACAGTTGCTAGTAGGCACCAAACATTTTTTTTTCTTACAAACTTGATACTGTTTATAGCAGTGGGCAGTGAAAGAGGTGGAAAACTTTAAGGCATTTGTTAAAAATATGAAACTATTTTAGTCCATCATTTTGTGTTCCCTGTACAGATCTGTGAATAATTACATGTTGTTTGAACACAGGAGAAATGAGTCCTTTAAATGTTTTGTAGTTTAGACTTGGTTTTTTTCTTCTTTTTTTAAATGGTAAAAACACATGCTCACTGTGTAGCATTTGAAAACACATAAAAAGATACAGATTCAAATAGGAAATTCACAAAATAGTGTCACTTGTTAACAATCATGTTTGAAATTTTACTGGATTTCATTTTTGAAGTCATGTCATGTAGACAATTTCATATCCTACTTTGTTGACATACCATTGCCACTTTGTCTTTGTTTTTAAAAACTTGTTTTCATTTAACCATTGTTTCCCATTGTTGTTATTTAATTATTCTCCAGTTGCTGGGTATCTTTTTACCATTATAAATTATTTTTGATAGTTTTATGTAGAATTACAAGTTTGTATACTTCAGTGTTTTATATTTCTTTAAAGTAGAATTATCCAGAATAGAATTATTAAGCCAAAAAAAATGACAATTTAAGGTCTTTGGTATACATTATTAAACTGTATTCTCTCTAGGTATCTGTGAATTAGTCATTTTTATTTATTCTAATTCCTTTGAGAGCCTTAGATTTAAAAAATATTTTAAATTCTTATCAAGTTTTATAAGATGTTGACACACATGCTAAGTAAACTATTGGTGTAGTTTTTTCCTTTGTATGGAATTCAAATCAGAGTAGTTAGGTCACATTAATTTTATCAGAGGTCTGATTGATAGTTTGACATGCTCAGAATTGAATTGAGATTGCAAATAATTAATACTACTACTCAGGAAAAAATTAGAAAGAAACCACAGAAGGTGCTTGGGAGTTAAAAAGTTGAGAACCTCTGAATGAAAGGCTTTCATTTCTTCCTGGTTTTTAATAGAAATATTCATCAGGCAGTTACTGAGGATGCCTCCCTGGAATAGTGAAGAGTTTGTTCTGCTCCCAAGGAGCTGCCTTTGATTTTGAGATGTGACTCAGCGTGCCCAGAGCTGCAGGAATGTTAGACAGGGGGGAAGGGCGGTGTCAGAAGGAAGCAGAGGATGAGGGCAGGGTGTTCTTTGGAGAAATCAGAGCCAAGGCAAGTCTTTCTGGTTGCATAGAAGATGCCTGTGTTGGTTTGATTCCAGTGGAGTTGAGAAGAGAGAAGCATGAGGGTTGGTAGCAGAATTTCTAGAAGTTTCAAAGTATTGTCGCATCAGAAAAATGATAGGGAACATTGTCTTCCTTTCAAAGATGTGGAGTGTGTCATGCACCATGTATATTGATTAACTGGATTTTGACATGGCACAGTGTGTACACATTTCAGAACACCACGGTGTGTGACATAAATGCGTATTATTTTAGGCATTTAAATAATAGAATACATAAAAAAGAAAACCAACACAAAGGATCACATAAGGTGCATCTTATATGAATGGGCTGGTGGTTGGATTCTGTTTTTAAATCTGCTTTGACAATCTGGATTGTTTTGTTTCCTTTGGGTCATTTCACCCATTCACATTTAATGTTACTATGGATGTGGTTAAAGCCACTGTTTATTGTGTACTATATCTTCCTTTGGTTCAACTCCTTGCTGTCACTGTCACCTTTCTGTCACTGAGACACAATCCCTGACACCCATGACTTAAAGGAAGAGAGGTTTGATTTGTCTGATGGTTTTGGTCCATGGTAGGCTGGTTCCCATACAGAACAAGATGGCAGAGGAGCTTGGTGGAGGAAAAGGTTATGAAGCTATGGTGGCCAGGAAAAGATGTAGAGGGAGGGAGACTCCTCCATGGGGCATGCCAGACTCCTCAGAGGCATGCCCCATGAGCATACCTCTCCTCCCCCACCCCCAGGCCCAACTCCTCACAGCACACTTTGCTCATTCATGGATCTGTCCGGTGATTAGTAGAGCTGTCATCCAATTGCTTTCCAAAGCCCCATGTCTGAACTCATGAGAGTCTGGGGGGACGCCTACATCTAAACCATAACATTTGCTTTGAGTTTTAACATTTCCCTGGAGAACTATCTTAAGGAAATGTCTGATATGTGAACAACATTTTTCTTTTCTGTGAGTTTCCTGAGTTTGGTTTGGGTGAGGCCGTATTCTAGGGACCACAATGAAAGGTGCTGATATAACTCAGATAACAGGAGCCAATCTATGAAAGCGGATTGCTTTGTCTGCTGCCTTCCTCCGTTTTCGTCTGTTTGGAACAGTCTCAGGAGCTGGAGCACTTGCAGATGAGGCTTCTGTTTGGAAACACAAAAGAACTTTATCTAAGCATCCAGGGTGGTCTAGGAAGTGACTGTCCTTTTCCACTCCTATCTATTTGTTGATATCTGCTCTCCCCAAGGCATATTGAGAATGCCTCACATTAAACACCTCTTGGTGAGCTTCTTAAATTGTGAGTTTTCGGAACCCTCCTTAGACCTGCTGAATCAGAGTCTGCATGCAGCAGTCTACTGAAAGCTGTATTGATTTGGAGTCTGTATTTCAGATCTGCTAGAGATGAGAGGGAGGAGGAAGAAGGAATCTTTCAGCTATGCAACAGCATATTTGTGAAGGAAAAACAGTAGTGCAGTGAAAGGGAGACTGTTTGCCTGATGGTGTTTATGGGAGTGAAGCAGAAATTAAGCTGCCAATGTGGGTTGGGCACAAATGATGAAGACTGAATCCTGTTGATGACACTCATTAATCCTTGCTGACATCGCTTGTGTCAAACACTGCCCTCAACTCTGGATGAAACAGTGCTGATGTGGCGTCTTCTATTCTATGTCAAGACTGAATTAAGTCATTTTCTATATATTCATTCAAGTAATTCTCTCAATAAGCCGGAGTGGTAGTCCTCACTATTAGTGCCATTGTATAGGTGAGAGAGAGAAGAGCCCAGGCTCTCAGCACTGGTAACCTAGTCAATCCAGCTGCCACCTGGCTGAAGCTCTTAACCTATGTATTCAATTCACTACCTGCATTATCTCTGCCATCATCAAAAATGACAGAGGAGAGAGCAGGTAACTTCATCAGAAACTTGCCTATGAGGAGGGTGGGGGAAAACGTCATGGATCACAGCTCAGGAAAGTATCAGAAAGTAAGTGGGAATCTGCTAGACAAACAAGGTAAAACACACCTGCCAGAGGGAGGGAATCACACATGCAAAATCATGGAAATAGTGCAGAATTGGATTTGGTACTTAAGAGCAAAGTTTTATAGCAGGGCTTTGGCCTTCTAAAATAAAGTGCTTTCAGAAAGACCACCACATCAAGAGAGCAGGGGACTGGAGGGGGGTGTTGAATTTGGGTACATTGTGGGCAGAGGTGAAGAGGCTGGAAGCAGGCAGCCTGGGGAGGTGCAAAGGAAGAGAGGAATGTGAGTGACAGCTGAAGGACCTGGCACACAGTAGCACTGTTTTGTGTGAGCATCTGTGAGGCAAAGATTGCCAGGTTTTTAACAAGATCCTGTGGGAGACTCATGGTGTGATTAACAGAAACAAGACAGGGGAGGAAGCAGGTTGGGGACTGGTACATTTTATGCAGCACATTTGCACTGGAGGTTCTGGAGGGACAATCAGTTTGATGTGAGTGTCTTGTTCAGAGGGTGGTGTTTGAAGCCTGAGCTATGAATTAGCTGCCCAGGAGGAAGAATCCCTGGGTGCTCAGCTCCTCTGATCTGCCACTCTCCTTTAAAGTGTGAAGCAGGGGGCTAAGTTTGATGGTCTACACTGCTGAGGGTTGAGGAATGGCTGCAGTGTGTGCAGGTATCTAAATAAAGACCCAGCCACACCTGAAGTCCTGTATTCAGTGTGCACCCAAATGTCAAAATCATTCAATCCTTGCACTTGAGAGAGAAATCAAGGTCAAATTGGGAGGGCCAGGTGACGGGGCATGCAGGAAAACACAACTGCGTGACTCTCTAAACCCTGGGCACATTTAGTTCTGACATCCTGGAGAAGTGTGTGTTAGTGGCAGGTTTAATTTCATGGTTGGCCACTGTGAAATATTCCAGTTTGCATGTCCCAGGTGTGGTATGAAGGGCTTCAGGTATCCATTTACATTTCTGCCTGCCCGAAAGCTGTGGAAATGAAGTCCCAGGTGCCCCAGCCAAGGGAACCAGAGCCTGACCCATTTTATGCTTGAATTTCCTCAGACATCAAATATAAGCCTTTCAGCTGTAAATTAAGAGGCTGGGTAACAAGGACCGATATTAGGCATAGGGAAGGGAGTGGCAAGGTAGAGAAGGGCTGTCAAAGAAATCAGAATGGGACAGAGAGAACAAAGGGGATTCTTGTTACCTCTGGGGGTGAGCCCAGAAGTTGTCTTAGATAGTTGTATGGACACCTAGTGTCCTAATCATGTGTGCATTCTGTGTCATTGCAAAGCACGGAAATGACAGGAATGTAGGAATTTGCCAGGCCCCAGACACCCTGCTATGTGAGGCTGTAAAGCTCAGTGGACCTGTAATTTTTATATCAGACCAGTGGATTTGGGGGGTGGATGTGTCCCTGAGTGAGGTGGGGCCGAGAACAGCAAAGCATCCTTACTTCCACAAAGGAGTTCCGGGGTGAGTCTGTCAAAAAGGAAGAAAGAAGTCAGGCAGACACTTTCAAACTGGGTTACAAGTGTGCTAATGCCATTGCGGGAGTGGCAGGGGGCAAGGAAAAATCTGCTTCCGCACTTTCCGGCCTGAGCCAGGAAGCAGATGGCAGACATAACAGCAGAGCACTTAGCAGGGCTGTGGCTCTGGTGCAGGCCACCTTGCCAGGCTGGCAGCAGCTGTGTGGGGAATGTGGGAATTTTCAGACAGGAACTCCAGGCCCTGGAAATGTGGTCTCTCTAAGCAGGTGAAGTTGGGAAGTCCAGATCATCATTAAGACCAATGAGCCTTGGTCTACTGACTTATCTAGAAAATTAAGACGTAGAAAGTGATCAGGGAAGTATATATATATATATATATATATATATTTTTTTTTTTTAACAAAGATAGGAAAAGGCCCATTTTGAGAATCATACTGGTTTTCCTTTGTCGGTCCCCTCCCCGCACTGAAATATTTCGAATTTGCTTTTAATGTTTGAAGTTGCATTGAAGAGCTGAAATAACTTTTTATGCATGAACCAAGAAATTTAACTGACTTTTGCTCCTGAATGGAGTCCATGAATTCTAAAATTGTTATTACTAAGGATGAACCCATAGATGCCCTGTGCTAGGGGACTAGAGGTGATATTGGGAAAAGCCCCTTCCCTCAGGGGATTTACAGAGCTCAGGGAGTTGTGTGATTACACATGCAATTAAGATGTGCTACGAGGCGCAGTCCGCTAGGGGTCCCCAAGTGAGTAGAGCCTGGGTGCAGGGAGGGCAGCTAAGCCCTGGTCAGGAGCAGGAGCAGCTTCCTGGGGAAGTGAGGGCTTCCCCGGGGCTGGCAGGTGAAGAGGCCCAGAGGCTGGCACTGCAGTAAACAGGGCTGCTCATTCCTACAGAAAATTATACACAAAGCTGGAAGTGAGAGGGACAGAGCGGCTGGGGCAGGTGAGGTGGTGTAACAGTTCCAGGAGGTGAGCAGAAGCACAGGAATCGGTGAGCTTTGAGGTTTGAGAAGGAGAGAAGAGCCACAAGAATGGCCTTGTGTGCTGAGAGGAATCTGGTTTTATCTGGAAGGCATCGGGTCCCTAAATGCTTTTTAGAGAGGACCTCATATTTGCACATAGAAAACATGCACCTGGCTGTTGTACGAGGAAGGTCTGGGGAAGACAGAGGCTGGAGCACAGGGGAGCCAGGAGGCCCTGTGACACTAACACAGAGAGCTGACAATGGCCCAGTGAGGACAGTGTCTGGGAAGTGGAGAAAATAACTCACGTGGAGAAATTTAAGGAGGGAGCGTAGTTAGCGTGTGGGCACTGACTGACACTCAGCTAAATAAAGGCAGAAGTTAGAAGAACCAGAAGTGTGGCTGTCAAGGCCATTGCTGATACCATTCTCTGAAAGGGAAGCGTGAGAGTGAAATACGTTCGGGTGGCATGCGGGGCAGGTCAGGCTCTGAGGGGCAACAGACTCTGAAGCAGAGATTTGTGTGTGCTTTATAAGAAAGGCCTTTCAGGGTCAGCTCTAGGGCAGGATGGAGGTGGTATAGGAAGCATAGTTGGGCAGAAGGACAAGTTGAATTTCAAAGTAGTAGAACGGGTTCCCCAGCTGCTCCTGCAGGGCATTTCATAACTGGAAATTGCCTTTCGGAGTTGTCCCAATTTGAGGCAGTGAGGCCAGAACTCTGTCACACTTTCTTCAAACACTTATGGGATACAGGCTGCCCACAGAAGGCCACTTGACCTTGGGAAAGGTGCTGTCTCCAGCCCAGGACAAGCCCTGAATAGGTAGCTGAGATCTGTCCCACAGTGGCAAGAATGTGTCTTTTGGTCATGGAGGGGCTTTGAGTAGCTCACCCGTGCATCCACTGCAGAGGCCTAGAGTTAAGTAAATTCTTCTCTGACTTTCCTTCTCCCATGGATGAAAAGAAGGGGTTGGAGCAGCTGATTACTAAAGTTCTACATACTTGAACATTCCATGACAACAAGAGAACATTAGAACAGCAGAGCTACCCAGTGTAACCAATCTATTTTAAACCCATTTACAGAAAAAGAGGTTCTAAGGTTGAGGGTTTTGGTTAGTGGAAAGTGAGCTCTCAGAATAAATGTCTCGGCTTCCACTTCTGAGAGCACAAGCTAGTAGGATCCTCCTTGGGGCAGGAAGGGGAGCAGTCAGGCCTCGGCTTCTTTGCTCCTCTTGCACCAACTGCACAATTTGGTGAACTCACATTAGGGTCAGATCAAGCTGACATGTTCTGTACTTACTTGAATCGAGTCAGCAACTTAAATCATGGACAGAGCTCCAGTGGAATCTAAATTGAAGTTGCACTTACACTTCTCTCCAAAATTTTCTACAAGGCCTCATTCCACCCCTGCCCTCTCTATTAGCCTGGCAAGCTCGCCTTTCCACGGGTGTTTTGTCTGGGGCACTGATGTAGCTATTTACTGGATTGGCTTGTGTTTCTGTGTTGTCTGAGGGCTTACGAACAGATAGGCTAAGGACAGCTGCCTCCCGTGATCACAGGAAAATAAACAACATCATCACCCACTGCAGCCAGAATTCTGATATGCGGAAGATATATGAGGCCCTTTTACTCAGGTGCTTATTCCAAGGCTGGAATGTCTGAGTCAGACCCCTTCTAACTGTACCCTAGGTGATGGCAGCCAGTTCTTCCACCTTTTAACCTCTTCCCATATCAGTTCATCCTCTCATTCATTTGGCAACTGCAACATTGAGGTGACTGCATGCTCCTGGTGTGCGGGCAATGAGGCTCATCATGGCGGGGGTCCAGGAGGGGGCCCTACAATATTCTCATGCTGTTCTTCAGACAAAGACGTCTGCATTGCTCAGAGGCTGAGAATCTGCCTTGGTGGAGTCTATTGGAGCTGGATGGTATCTCAGAGATGATGTGGTTACATCACATGACTAGCTGATCTATTTTTCTGTTTTATTACAGCAAAATGCATCTATGGTGGGAAAGTTCTTGCAGAAGGCCAGCGGATATTAACCAAGAGCTGTCAGGAATGCAGAGTAAGTTCTAATCTCACGATCCCGTGGTGAGGAGATAGTTGGGAGAGTGGTGTGGGCTTTTGCTAGGTTCTTAAACAGGGCATCTTGGCCAAGATGTGTTGCTGAGGGGCAGAACCCTATAGGTGCTGGGATGAGGCAGAGCACAGGGTGGGCACAACCTCTATTCAAGTGTGATCAGCCAAGGTCAGCTGAGGATCAGGTAGCCTGGGAAGAAACCAATAAAGGCAGACTGTTGAGAGGGCAAAGTGCCAGCAGTTACTGTGAGGCAGGCCATTTGGGGGAGCTCAGGAAATGGTTTTCAGTTGGTGTGGGGCACTAGGTCTGTGATGCCAGATGCAGCAGTGTCCTCCTGCTCCTGAATGTCAGGTGTCGTGCTGCAAAGTGCCCTGTCTCTTGCTCACACCTTCCCCAGAAATAAAATGTAAAGAGTCATGGACCTCGTTTAATAATCATCTGGCACAGATACATCAGGCAAATGCTCCGTTAACATTCTTCTAGATTTCAGGTACAGAACAGTGCAGAAAAGAAAGTTCCTCATTATAGACCTGCAGTGTAGTGAGGGAGAGGACAGGAATATAAATGTGAGATACAATGACACTTTCTGTTTGAAATTCTGTAGTAGACTGAAGGGATAGAGAGGTTGGGAGTAAGGACCGATGGTCTGGGAAGGCCTCGCTGAAGGTATAATTTTAGAATAAAATCCTGGGCATGGAGAGGGAGCCAAGCATGCAGCTCTTTGGTTGGGACGAATTCCAGAAAGAGGAAAAGCGGTGCAGAGGGCTTGCAACAGAAGCTTACGTGGCATGTCCCGGGTAAGCAAGGATGCCGCGGTGGCTGGGAAATTGAACAGGGAGCAGTAGGAGATTAAAATGGGGGCATGGTGTGGGGCTAGAACATTTAAAGACTTTTAAGACAGGGTTCAAAGGTCCTGTGTTTTGACTTTCCTATTTATGTAAATCCTATCAATCATGGCAATGCAGTGTGTTCTTTCCTGTACGTTTTCCTTCATTCAACAAATATATACGAGCTTCTACAATCTTTTGTGTTCATATTTCATTAAATGCTTTTGGAGCAACTATTGTGTGCCAGGCATAGCGCAGGATGGAGACTAAAGATAAGACCTTATGGTTCCCTGAAGATGCTGATATGTACTGAAGTCAGGAGACAGGAAACCAAGCTCTAGTGCAGGGTGGTGAACCTGAGGCCATTGGTCAGTGCTGTGCACTAAATGATAGCACTGGTTAGGGCGCCTTGACTCAGTGTGAAGGGGCCAGGCAGTGCTTCTTGGAGGTGGCGGTTGCTCTTCACCAGAAATTACTTCCCAGATAAGTGAGAGTGAAGGCATATTCCAAGCAAAATAAATAGCACTCACAAATGCCCCAAGCCAGAAGGAGGGCTTGTCTTATTTAGGGAACTGTAGTGAATTTGACTATGTGATATCTCAGGGTGAGAGAGTGAGGAGGGAGAGACCTATAAAGCTAGTGGGGGTGAAAAGGTTCCTGCATTGGAGTTGATATTAATGGGAATGAGGATCCCCTGCAGGTGTGGTGTGTGTGTGTGTGTGTGTGTGTGTGTGTGTGTGTGTGTGTGTGTGTAAAGCTTTGAATTTCAAAGGACACTGTGATTGAGTTGGTGGGGACACTTAGGGAGGAATATGTGAATTTGAGCAGTTGTAGCCAAGAAATGATGAAGTTCAGGCTTAAAGCAGCAATGACAAAGATGGAAAAGAAATTTGAGAGCTAATTTTAAAAAAAACAGAAGAAAAGTAGCTTTGTGTTTCCTTAGGTGTGGGAGAGAGCACTGTGAGGGAGAGAGAGAAAGAACCAAGTTGATGTCCAAATTCCTGGCGTGTTCAAAGGGAATAGCAGGTTCTGTTTTTGGAGGAAATCAGCAGAAACCTTCTCTAGATAAGCAAACTGATGATTTTATGGGAGGATGTGAGGGGACTTTTCTAATTCCCTGAAAAGATAGAAAGATCAGGTTCAGGAGGGAACAGGGTGTAAGCCATTCCGGAAGTGCATAAGCAGAGGCATCACCAGATTCAGGAGCTTATCTGCTGTGGCAGGTGACTTTTAATCATTTCTGCTGTCCTTGAGTCCCCAACAGAAGACTCAAGTTCTGGGACAGGGAATATGATTAATATAACACTGGATCAAACACACAAGTCCTTATTGTTGGGATGGGACAATATCTAGCTCCTATGGGCTCAGCATGGGAATCTGGTCTCCTGGGATTACCATCCTATTAAACTGCATGCAGTGGAGACACCATTCCCCAAGAGGAAGCTATGGTAACTACAGAAGGGGACACTAACTCCTGTGTCACCTAAGGGTGATGAATGCTGTCTTCATTCAATAAGGTAGTTGTGCTTAATCAGGTCACAGAGGGTGGAGGACAAATGGGGCTGGTTTTAGACATGTGGATCTTGACTGTATTTTGCCTATCAGTGGCTACAAAACCATTTTCCCAAAACTTATGGGCCCAAAATCAACACTTTATCCTTCTTTCTCATACTTGTGTAGTTTGAATGCGCTGAGTTGGAATCTCATAGGCTGCTAACGGTAGAATCCTATGAAGGCTTGACATGGCTGGATGTCCAAGATGGCTTCTTTCCCTCCATGTCTAGCACCTCAACTAAGATGAATAGAATGAATGCCTTTGTCAGTGTTTCTCTGTGCTGCTTTCTTTTTCTCTTTTGCACCCTCTACATGTGGCTATCCTGGCCTCCTTCCTTACAGAACCATGCTCTCAGGGGTTTCCCACATGGTGATTAGCCTCCCCTAGCATAAGCCCTCTGAATCCCAAGATGGAGGCTCCAGTGCACCTTGTAACCTGGTCCCCAAATCCATGCCTATGTGTTCTGTCTATTGTTTTGGTTATTTATGACCAGCACCAATTCATCACAGAGGAGGATGCTGCGAGGATGTGACTGACAGGAGGCATGATTCACTGTGAGATGTCATCTTTGGAGATGAGCTATATAATAAGTGTTTGTGGTACAATTTTCTTCTTGCAAATGCCATGTACATATCTTCCTGGATGGGAATTTAGTAACCCATTAAGTCGCTTTTTGCACAGCTAGAAAACTTTAGCAACCAACAAATTCCCTTATTTAGGTGATTATCTACCTCTGCAGATCCCCTACCCACTGGTCTTACATTTGTTTTCTCAGAAGAGAGCAGGCTACTTTCGCTTAAAGTGTAACACTGCAGCTGAAAGGTCCAAGTCTCCTGTGAAATAGACCTGGGTTTAAATCCTGAAATTTTACCTAATTGTTAGAGAAGTGTTGTTTGCAAATGTAGAGCTGGGTTGGAGAACATGTTTTGGTCAGGAGGTGACAGTGAGAGCTTTTCCATTCTTTTGCAAGTTTTCCCTTTCCTCCTCTTGCCTGATCAACTATCAGGAAAGAATTCTAGAGGCAGAGCCCCCAGCCCCAGAGGAAGGTGGGTTAGGCCAACTTCAGTGAGCGCACATTCGCCATCCAGGCATGGAGGCACATAGCCGTAATCCTAGAGGTAGGCGACTCCCAGAGTGAGGCTGAGGCAGGGGGACTGCGAGTTCTTAGCAAGATTCTGTTTCAGAATGAAAATTTAAATGGAACACTGTGCTGCAGCTCAGAGTGGAGTTCCTAGGTTCACCCTGAGAGAGAGAGAGAGAGAGAGAGAGAGAGAGAGAGAGAGAGAGAGAGAATCTTGTCCCTGTCACTTATACTGAGCTGCCTCACCAGAAATGCTTTTGCTGCCCAGCACTAACTCGGAACAGTTGACCCAAACCTTACTGCTTACCCATTGCATTCCTGGTTCTGCACAGCAGGGCCGGAGGCAAGGTGAATTTCTGTGTTGATACTTTATTGTTCATTCTTCAATGGTGGTGAAGCGCAGAGGGGGAGATGTGTAGTCCTGAATGAGAGCGTGAGGAACCAGGCACAAGAAAGTGAATGGGGAAGGCAGGAGAGCAGATCCCACAGGTGAATTTTTTAAAAAAGTATAAAGTCTACTGCAGTACTTTTAGTATTTTTTGATTCATAAAACAAGTGTATACTTAGCTTATACAATTTGGAATTTAGAGAAAGGCCTCTAAGGAAGAGAATGGAATTGCTCCAGAACCTTACCACCTAGAGACAATCTCATTTATCGGTTCCATCTTCGATAGTAGGAGTAAAATTCATCTTGACAACCTTTGTTTGGTCTTCCTGGAAGAAGACTTGAACTGAGACTCCCCATAAGTGATTTATTAATGCAGCACTCCCAGGGGAACCCAGACAGGCTGTGTGGGTGACCGGATGGGAGGGGAAACTGAGCAAAGGTACACTTTCTGATGGAAGGAGAGACATAGCTCAATTCCACCACTGTGTCTAGGACGCCCCTTATGGCCCAGAGAGTGTCCTTCCTCTGTGATGGGCACATTCCATGCCATTCAGTCAGTGGCTCTGGGCCAAGGAAATGGGGTTGCAGGACTTCTAGGTTACTTCTCGCTCCTGGACACAGTGGTTCCAGGGCCCAGGGGCAATGCTCTGAGGAGGACAAGGTGAACCTTTGGTATCCAAAAGCCTGGACCTGGGATGTGGACACAGACAACTAATTAAATGGATCCAGGAGAATTCACCTCCCATACTTTATGCCAGGACTAGTGGGATTGCCACAGGTTCCAGGCCAGCCTGGGCTGCATAGTGAGTTCAAGGGCTGCCTGAACTGCATAGCCAGACCCTGTCTCAAAAACACCAAAATAAAAAGTAAAACAGGAAGACATTTTGTTCCTCTTTGAGTTTGCAATGCCTGGTACCCAGCAGAGTGCTGGAATTGGTGCACTTAAAAATGGCACAGAGCTCTCTGACTCTGCTTTCACTGATGTCATCGTGCCCATGGCTCAGAATCCACCATGCTTAGGATACCGACGGCAGAAATCAGTAAACCTCATGAAGGAAGCCTCCCCTTCTCAGGTCAATTGTTCAAATTTATCGATTAACACTGTCAGCATCCTTCTTCAGTACAGAAGATACTAAAAACCCTGGAATTGGGCTCAATTGTAATAGAAAGGGAGTTTGCCTTCTTTCCAGGACTCTCACTGTTTAATTTGCAATGTTATTATTAGTGGAATCTCTGGGAGTGCTGATACTTTCTGATTGTTATCACTGCAAGCTATTAACAATGAGGATTATTAGTTGGTACCATTGACTAACCACATGAATATCTTTTTTATTTCCCTGATATCTGACCTCCAGGGTGGAGTTTTAGTGAAAATTACGGAAACGTGTCCTCCTTTGAACTGCTCAGAGAAGGACCACATTCTTCCGGAGAATCAGTGCTGCAGAGTCTGTCGAGGTAATTGGGTTTGGTGGGGTGTGGAGGTCTGTGCTTGGGATAGGACTCGGGTGGCCTTGTGTGTGTGTGTGTGTGTGTGTGTGTGTGTGTGTGTGTGTGTGTGTGTGTTGTGTGTTTAATGAATAGTGTGAAGGGAAAAAAGCACACACCACAAGCTCTGTTCTGATCCTTAGAAATTTCTGTGTCTTGTTTATTTTTCTCAGATATAGTCTCTACATTTGCAAAATGAGGATAATATCTACTTCTTAAGAGTGCCGTTAAGACTAAACAGGTTAATGCATAAGCACCTAGCCTAATGCCCACCATGTGATAAGTGTCCAATAAATACTTGCTGCTACAATAATGCCAGTGGTGGTTCCTATAATAATCATCGTCCCCATAATTATTACATTTTCCTCATGAGTAGGTTGAGGAGTTATCTTTTCAGCCTGGTTCATGGACCAGTTCCCATATCTCATAGAAAATATAACTCACAGTGAATCTTTATTCATGAAATTCATTTATGTGCATTTTGTTTTACTTCTTTGAATGAACACAGACTGAAATGAGTAACACCGATTGCTAATTAATTCTTGGGTATAAATTGTTTTCTCCCTCTTCCTAGAATTCCCTTTTCCCCCAAATACATTCTTTCTGCTCACACATTTTTTTCCTCTCTCTCAAATTCTTACCTGGGCAGATTAGATGGATAAGGAGAACCTAGAATTTATGCAGAGTCCTAAAATTGAGACCACTTAAACTGATAGCTGTTATTTTAAAAACAGTATCTACTCCCACTACTTCACTTTCTCAAATCTCTAGTTAGATCTGTGTCGCCAGAATTTCCACCCTTCTAAAGTAAAGAAGGCCGGAGCAGCCTTGCGGTTTGTCTCAGGTGACCTCATCTTTTACATTTTTCTATCTTTTCTGTAAAACAAGAGTTAGTAATAGTGGTTATTTTAGCTTTTGTAGACCAGCAGATTTCTATTACAACTTTAAATTCTATACTATGCAGAAAAGCAGCATAGATAATGGGTATAGGAAGAGCGGTGGCTGTGTTCCAGTAAAATTTTATTTACCAAAACAAGTGACAGTTCCGAACTTGCTGACCACTCCCCTAGCACATTTTGAAATACAAAAATGTTCTGTTTTTTATCATGGTGTGTTTTTATTTCAGACTCTGACTTCTGTCTAAGGTTGGTCATGAGAGAGCCATGCTGTAGTAAAATTCTTAGGAAATGTTGGTACCTGGAGAATCAGGGATATGCTAACCATGGCATCAGAGTCTGCCCTGATGTATCTGCTTTTATGACTACAAGCGTGTTTGCAGCTGGGATGCTTTGGCAATTCTTACACATTGAATGGGATTTTCAGAGGGATGAAACTATTGGTAACCAATAAGGGTATCAGGTGGGCCTTATCATTTAATGCAAAATCCGTCATTTGCTCTTTGTTGAGGTGCCAAGTGGGACTCAGCTTATGCCAATCCCTTCTGATTTATGGTTTCATTAGAGCAGGATCATTGATTAGGCCACAGAAATTCAAGAGGAAGTCATTACTCTAACCCAGTTTACAATAGAGCAGAAGGCCCTGCTTGTGCTAGTACTTGTCCTGCCCTTCTTTATCAATAACAATGCTGAGAGAGGTCACACCTCACCGGAAGGCAGACTCCCATTCCCAGCACTCTAGGGGCTTTTACCAAACTTGACTCAGCTACAGGAAAGTGAGAGCAAGGAGTGAGGCTCCCCAGACTTGGTCTCGGCCATTTGATAAACTCAGGATATTTTTTGTTCTCCTTCTTCATATGTGTTTTCTTCCATCCCAACCAGGAAATCCTTTTTATTTTTATTTTTATTTTTGAAGCTGTTGGTTTTTTCTGGAGATTCCTGAGGGATAAGTAAGTCTCTGCTGTCCTCTCTGAAAACTCCACATTTTGACAGGAACTGAAATGTGTCTTTTTGGAAAAATATGGCAGAGAGGAATTTCTTGTGGGAAGTTGGGTGAAATAAAACTTTCAGGTCTATGAGTTCTCGTGTTTCCCTCCCATCTCAGAATTCACTGGAATGAAGGAATTATTTTTCACTAAGGTCCTCATTAGCAACTTTTACCTCAGTTACTTCCTTCTTCCCTTCCTATTGACCCATAGCAGAGAGGGTACCCAGGCTCCCTGTGCACTTCTGTGTATCGGGCAGTCAGAAAATGAGAGGCATGTTCATGTGGGCAGTCAGCATCTCTTACGTAAACCCTACTGTTTTGATAACAACAAAACATCAGTCCAGATGAGCTCAAAGTACTGTTGTCCTCTACTATGTTGGTGATGAATTTCAGTCCATTTCCTTCCATTCCCATCTATCTTCCAAGAGCCTCTCTGCAGGTAACATAGTAGACTCTCTAACATAGTGGTTTCTGTGAGAAGTCTTTTATCCCGCTGATTCTCATTGCCTTCTTCCCTTTTGATTCACATTCATATCTTTTGAATGGGTTCTTGCAGAGAAAAAGGGGCCAAACAGTTACTATTCTGCCAAGATTTGCAAAGCCCAGGGACTTTTTCCAAGATAAATTATTTAGCTTTTCTTACCCCTCCTCCCTTACCCCTGTATAAAACAATAAGTAATGGAAAGGTGAGAAACACTCGATTTCTATGTAAAGCAACTTTTACCCTTCACGTGGAGAGGATGGCACTGTCCATGGATTGGCAGGCAGCAAGTAAAGAGAGAGGCGGGAGTTGGATGAGATCAAGTGCGTATTTCGGGGTGGACGCTGTGACATGGTGTGATGCAGCCGTGTGACGTTTGCCACCCTGGCTTCAGTGATTCCAGAAACCAAAGTGTCCCTGGCTCTCTCAAACTTGCACTGACGACCTTACAATTAGCATGTTAACTCCCCGCATCTATTAATCAGTTTGAAAGAAATTATCCTTTGAGAATATCATTCCTCAGAAGTCTAAATTAAAAAGCCTTTGAGGAATATAACTTTTAATTTTATTATACAGGTAATTTTTTAATGAGCCACGTGTGTATGTTCAGAGTTTTCCAGGGTTTATTCTCATTAAGGCTCTGATGAGCCACCTCACCTGGGTGGTTTATTTCTGTCCCCAAGTGACTGATGGCATAAGGCTGAAAAATCAACATCCCATTTAATGATTATATTTATAAATCTGTTTTTTAAATGCAGGAGATAAGTAAGTGATGGAGATACCTTCCTGTCAGATAGAGTGTCTTTGTGGCTGTGTTTGTGGTCCTGAGGACTAAACACGGGGCTTTCATGCACGCTTGGCAAGTGCTGGGTCACTGAGTTACACTCTCTGTCCTTCGTGTCCTTGTCATGTCAGTGACTTAGATGGGATTTTAATTGAGTCTGTATACTTTGTATATGAAATATTGTGCAAATCCCATTTTGCTCAGCTGTAATTAGTTTCCTCAGGTTATAACTTGTTAGTTTTATTATGTAGGCAATTTTTAAATGAGTAACATGTGCATGCATATGTAATTATTGTCCCCTTTCCACTGACTAATCCAGATGAATGGTGCAGACTGTGGTTTTACATTACCCATTTTCTTAGTGGAAGTTAAATCTGAGGGCTTTGTGTTATCAGAACTGGTATCATGATCAGAGCCTCAGAGACTTTAACTCTACAAAGTTTGCAAAAGCTGTGACAAATTCCTCTTCTTTTTGACATAGATGAACAAAACCATCAAAGCAAACACTTACATCCACAGGGCTGTTGGTGTAGCTAGGATGCCCAGGGAGAGAACTGCAGAGCGGTGTGGGCCAGCACATGCAGGGGGAGGAAAGTCAGTGGGCACTGGTGGAAGAGACCACTTAGCCATTGCTGGGGCTCGGTTCCCAGTCACTGGCAGTAGGATGTACAGTAGCCCTCAGCATGGCCTCAGCTTCCCCAGATGTCTCAGCACACTTTGTGCTGGCAGCGTGAAATTTGTTTACCCGCCTCATTACCTTGAGGAAATAGCCATAGCTGGAGTCTGCCCACTTGTATTGTGAGAACATTAGGTGGATAAGAGGAGACGGCACTGGAGTGACATCTCTGCTGCTTCCTGGAAAGAAGCAGGAAAGGCCTGAACTAGTCCCAGCAGATAAAAAGATTGCTCATGAATTTCTGGTCCTCTCAGTTAAAGGTTGGAAAGGAAACAAACAAAATTAAAGCTGATGACACGGATCACACATCCATGCTCCAAGAAAACACACCAATTGTGTGGCTCATTCCAAAATTTCCCAACACACTTCTCATGGTTTTGTTCCCTCCACCACCAGCTCTAATTGCATTTGCAGTATCGTTGATGACTTTGGAGGACTTTGCTGCATGTTTGTGACTTCCAGTGTTGGAGAAAAATGTTCTTTCGGACATCTGTTCCAAATGTGCTTATCTGTAATTTTAATTCATGCTCACTTGTCTTGTCATCTGGCCTGGACTGAAATTAGTTGGGATTATTTGTACTACTTAAGATTTTACTCCCTTCCATTAAATCCTCCCAGAATCTCAGTGTCCCACGATACCCCTCCCCAGGTCTTCCTTATCATTTTAGGTGAATTTATAATTGACATGGTTCTAGAGAGAGGATTTCAGGGTATTTGAGGTCAACAGAGATCTGGAAAAGTGACACTTAATGGGACTGTAATCTGGTGTGACAGTGGAGGATCTGGCAGTGCATAGACAAGTCAGGTTCTCTGCCTATTGATAGATGGGGTGGGATCTGATCAAAACCCCTGAAGCATGAGCTAAAGTGGCTTGGGAAGAGAGTGCCTGTGCTGAAGCTGGGAGCAGAGGGCATCTGAAGGAGAGGCTGGGCTCAGGGAACCAGCAGTTCAGTGACTGGAAAGTGCTTTAATGAACTTGGATCTGGGAAGTGCCCAGAATGAAGCACATAGCTCCAAAAGACCTAAATCTAAACAAGGCTGTTCTTCCTGGTAAGAGCTCAGGTATCTCCTAACACATGTGTATTAGGTGTGGAATGCATAAAGGAATTCAGTTCTCAAAAAGGTTCTTCAGGCCGTATCTTCCC